GAGCTTAGCAGGAGGGTTTAGGGTTTAGGGTTAGGGTTTAGGGTTTAGGGTTTAGGGTTAGGGTTTAGGGTTTAGGGTTTAGGGTTTGGGGTTTAGGGTTTAGGGTTTGGGGTTTAGGGTTTAGGGCTTAGGGTTTAGGGTTTAGGGCTTAGGGCTTAGGGCTTCTTGGGCTTAGGGCTTAGAAACCTTTGGGTGGTGCTGCGGTTATTGAAATTGCTCGGGGGTTAGGGTTTATAGAGTCTAGGACGAACAGCTCGAAAGCTTTGCCCATGTGTTGGGAGAGGTCCCACAAAGTTTCGGCGAAAGCTTAAGGTTTAGGGTTTAGGGTTTAGGGTTTAGGGTTTAGGGTGTAGGGTGTAGGGTTTAGGGTTTAGGGTTTAGGGTTTAGGGTGTAGGGTGGATTATGTTGGCAAAGCAGGGCCTGGGGGAGGGGGGGGCATTTAATTTCAAGGTTCTGGTGTCTGCTGCATCAACAGGAAGGAGCCTGAAACGACCCTCCCTGGAACCCTTTTTACCTACATTTCTACGGGTTCTGCCTACTAATTCAGGGTAGTTACTACTAAACTGTAGGTAAATGAAGTCCGAGGTAGGTTCTAGCCCCGGCTGTTGTTTCCGCATGTGAGCTCACAACACCTGGACTGCCATAATGCTTCAACGCCCCAAGCCGCCAAAGAAGGGTCACTCCGAAGATTATTTTGCCCGAGTTTTTGTAGGGTTTGTGGTTGTAGGGTTTAGGGTTTGGGTTTAAGGTTTAGGGTTTAGGGTTGTAGGTTGTAGGGTTTAGGGTTTTAGGGGTCAAGAAGGAAGTTTATGGGTTACAAGCTTCGGGCGCGCTTGTCACTCTTGAAGGTGGTGCTTCCGGAGTGTCTCTCTCTGGGAGCTGGGGCCTCCGTCACCGACCCGCCCGACCCCAGCCGGGCGCTCAGCACACCTCGGCCGAACTCCTTGGGCCTGAACCCTAAACTCTAAACCCTAAACCCTAGGGCCCTTTAGGGGCTTGAAGGGAAGCCTTAGAGCTCAAGGCCTTTAAGGGAAGCCGTGGGCGTCAAGGTGAAAGGTCGGATGCATGCTGTGTAGGCCCTTGGGAGGTATCTTTTGAAATTTTGTTGTTCCCTTACTGGGTTGAAGAAGTTCCTATTCCGGAGTGTTTTTTGAGGCTTCGAGGGGCCAACGTGGCATGCTTCAGTGGCTTCATGCTGCAGTTGTTGAGTTTCATGCATGTGTGTGTCTTTCAGGAGATGCCGGCTGTTAGTGACTAGTATGCACAACATGTTTGAAGCTAAAACCCTAAGCGCTAAACTCTAAACTTGCATTTCCGAACCGGGCCGACTAGCAATATGGGCTCGGGGAGCGTGGCACCCACAGGGGGGCGCTCGAGGAATGGTGGGGAGACCTATAGGACCCCTCCTTCACCCCCATAAATTCCCTGCGCTTTCATTGCAAAATCGACAAGAAACCCTGTCAACTCCGATACGCACCCCATACCCTTCATGTACACAACCCGAAGCCCTAAACACGAAACGCCAGGTAAGAAACCAAAAAAAGAAACTCAGCCTTCAACCCGAAAGCTGAAACCGAATCTTTGCCTGCCGTGTGCGAGCACAAGAGCCGAAGCCCTAAACCCTGAAGGGCGGCTGGTCTGATTGGCGGGTGGCAAAGAGACTAAGCCCTAAACCCTAAACCCTAAACCCTAAACAAAAGCTGTTTGGGCAGTCGCTGGTGGTTGGACTCCGTTCCGGAAGCCGAACGACCAGGACATGCAGGCGGGGAGATGATCAAAAGCGTGGGGGGTTTAGGGTTTAGGGTTTAGGGTTTAGGGTTTAGGGTTTAGGGTTAGGGTTTGTGACCTGGGATTGTCCTTAGCGTTGCAATTCCCTAGCTCAATCCTAACTGTAAAAAACTAACATAAAACCAACAGGGGCCCTGGAATCTTAGATCGACCCCCGTTTGCCCAGGTGTGGACCACAGTGGTTTCGGAGGTTGACACCGCCTTGCAAAGCAAGGGGCGGCTCAACTGCACATATTTGCAGGCTTCTGATGGTGTTCCTTCCCAAGATCCGACCCTCTCGTGCATCGGTTCTCTTATGCGTGGCTCCCTAAACCCTAAACCCTAAAAAACCTATTCTGTCCGTGCCCTTGCGTTGCCAGGACACCTACGCAGGTATCATCTCAAGTTGTCGCTGGTATCAAGTCGCTTGCCTCATCTAGCGCCGCGAGGTTCAGAGTGCTCAACGCAACAACGCACAATTGGCACCCTCACGCCAGGGTACCCCTAGTTTCGGAACCCCCCCCCCTAATCGAGCCAAGGTACAAGTTCATGTGCGCAGATGGCACCGTAGTGACTGTTCTGAGCGTGCCGTGGATGCACACGATTGAGGTCCTGGAGATAGTTGAGCCATAGCACGGCACAAGCCCGTCACGGAGCTTCACGTTGGCATGCTCGACACATGCTGGTCAGGGCATCCACCTGCCAGTGGTACGATCATGCGCGCATCTTTTGAATCGCAGCCGGTGGAGGTTGGCGAAGCTTCCTGGCCAGGCTACAACCTCCTGGTTCTTAGTAGGGAATGAGGGAATGAGGGCCCTATATATACACCCTTTAAGGGATTACATGGGGCCCTAATTCCCTCGATCCCTACTAAGAACCAGCCAGACAATTGCACAGCGAGAACCTCGCCTGGCATTTGGTGCGAGGTTCCAAGACTCCACAAGGTAAAGTGGTTTGGGCTTGAACAGGCTGAGTCAAAGCGCCTCTGAGCCGTGAAATCAGTGTGAAATCCCTAAAACCCTTACAGCAAAGCCCCTACATCCCCAAAAACCCTAAACCCTAAACCCTAAAACCCCTACAGCAAAGCCCCTACATCCCCAAAAGCCCCCGAACCCGACCAGTAAAGAAGGGGCCGAGGGGAGCTGAGCAGAGGCGGAAGCATTGGAGGCTGGTACAGGCAGCCCTATGCCGTTTCGCAGCGAGCAAAAGAGAAGCGCCTTCTGGCTTAGACTTCAGGGAGGCTACGCCATGATGTTGATAAATCAGTACCATATATATAATATCATATATATATAATATATAATATATATAATATATAATATATAATATATAATATAATATATAATATATAATATAAATATAAATATATATATATATATATATATATATATATAACGTAATATTGTAGGCCCCTGCTCCCGAGATTACGTTTTCAGACCCTCCCCCCCCCTCGCCCCCCTGACAATCTAATTCTTGGGAATATATAGAGTAGAAAGAATGGAAGTGTCTTGGAACCTGGTAGTAAAAAGCATATCCACCAAAAAACACACACACAACAATAAGAAAGCAAACACACGCAAACACAAAACAGACAAGCGTCCACACAGCGCCCCCTTCCCGGGACAAGGTTCTGCGAATTGGGCTTCCTGTTGGACAGATGCGTTCCTTGAACCAGGGTACCGCTTCGGGCTCCCGAGGCCGAGGATACTAGCCTCAGCCATCGGCCTTTGTGCCGCAAACCCGAATGTTCTCTTTGCCTTCCTGCACTTTTGACAGGTTTGGTTGCAACAATGTTCTTGAAGTATCCCGCCTCGTTCTCCCTTAAAACCAGCCTCAACCCCAACCCCTCAGACTTAGAATCTGGCCTCAGATGCCCAGCAAGCAATACGCGTTCCAACTCATGTCGGAAGTTCTCGAACCCTAAAACCTAAGTTAAATACCCCCCCCCCCCCCCTGCATTACAAGGTTTTTTGTGCTAGTCCTTGTCTTGCCTGTGCCTTTCTTGCAGCATTTGCAGGCTCAACACGCCGGAGTTTCGGGTTGAGGTTTTAGGGCGAGTTGCATAGGTTTTGGAGCGCTTATAAGCTTAGCTTAGTGTGACATTTGCGCCCGCCTTCGGCTAAGAAGCGGATGAAAGCTCCATCCATGCCCGGCGTCGTCGAAAGAGCAAAGCCCAGTGGCGAAGAGCACGTGGCGCCAGAGCTTGTGCGCCAACTGACAGATCAATGCAAGGTGCATCAGGCCATTTTCCCACAGAAAGCTCGGACCCCCTACTGCGCATACTTCAGGGAAGTCATGAAGCATTCCTCCAACACCACATATGGGGGTTTACGAACACAAGGGACCCCTAATGTAGACCCCCAATAGTAGGATTCCCTCATAGCAAGGACCCCGAGAAGGCACCCCCGAATTTCTGATGTCCCCATTCTCAAGTTCGGATTTCACCCACCAGGCGCTGACAAAGAAGGCGTCGGCTGCTCGGCCCTTGAGACATCCTTTTAGATTTTCTCCTATTGGCCCTTAAGAGGGTTTCATATTCAAGGGCCATCCTAAGCTGTGGTTCCTAAACGCTAAATCCTAAACCCTAAACCCGAAAAGGGTCCCAGGAAACCATCCTAGGCTGTGGTTCAAGGCGCTTGCTGGCCAGATCCTGATCCGGTTCCGCTGTCGGGGCCGCGAGCGGATGACGTGACGCGAATGCTCCTTGAGTGCACATTCCTCGGTCCCTTGAAATATGTAATATTTTCCCTTATTGGGTTCAAGAGGATCATGTTCAGGAATATTTTTCAGAGGGTTTCAGGGGCTAAGTTGCGGACACACGGACTTTCCTGCACAGACCCTATAAGATACTAAACCACGCAGCTTTAAGGAAGAGTTCTACTGAGTTATCTTTCTTCGGTTTTTCCCTGTGCTTCCACAGAAGAACCCAGGAACGAGGCTGCTGTGCAAGGGATCTTCCAAGTTCGTGACGAGTCTGACGTGATCCGCCTTTTGGCCATGGCCCGCATGAAGGCCCCAGTAGCCCAGGGGTACCCTGTTCCCCTTTTTTTGGTTCCACGTGCCCTTATATGACGTACCCAAACCCTAACCCTAAAGGTTCCCATGTTCCCTTGTGAAGTACCTAAACCCGAACCCCTCAAAAGTACCTAAGCCCCAACCCTAACCCCTAAGGGTTCCCCAAACCCGGAACCCAAAACCCTATAAACCCTAACCCCTGAGCCCCAAGCCCCGCATGAAGGCAGTCAGAGTCTCAATGCGCGGAACACAGCACTCAATGGGTGGGCACAGCATTGCCGCGGATGGATTTGTGCTGGACATGCCGCATGGCCGTCCGATCTCTTTAGGGCTTAGGGCTTAGGGCTTAGGGCTTTTTTTTTTGGGTTTAGGGTTTAGGGTTTAGGGTTTAGGGTAATTCTTCCAATTAAAAACCTTCTCTGACTAGACTGGGGAATCCCAACCGGTCTTAGCTAGCCACCAGCTGCAAGCCGAAAGCCAACCTGGTCTTTCTGCGGATTTGCGCTGAGGAAGAAAATGTCGAAGATGAGCTTTGACCACCAAACGGGCTTGGTGACGTGCGGTCCTGGCTGTACCTGGTCCGATTTAATTCGCTATCTCAACAACTTCGGAATGTCACCCCACACAATGCAGAGCTATTCCTCCTTCTCCGTAGGCGGAACGATAGCCGTGAATGGGCATGGCATCACAACCGACGAGTGTCTTGTTGAGAGTGTCAGAGCTCTCCGGCTTGTCAAATGGGATGGAACTGTCCTGGTATGCAGCCGCGAGGCCACTGGAGAAGGTCGCGAGCTGTTCGGCCTCGCAATTGGAGGCTATGGTCTCTTTGGCGTCATCACGGAAGTGACCATGGTGGTGAGCCGCAACTGCCACCTCACGATGGAAAGAGTGAGGCTAAACATCGAGGAGTTCGCGGCGTGCTACGCTCACGTACAGTCTGCCAAGGTGGGCCTAAAGCTGGCCCGCCTCAACATTCTAGAGCCTGATAACATTGAGCTTTTCGTCTTTCGCAAAGCCCACTCGAGTGATGTAGGGACCATTTCTGTGCTGGGGCGACAGCCAAAAGGCTTGAGCTGGCAAAAGCAGCTGATGTACAAATGGGTCATGCCGAACGCGCAGGAGCTGCGATACAAGTTTGAGCAGTGGACTGGCACACGCGTGGACTGGAGCGGCGCGCTGGAGCGGAATACGATGATGTACATTAGCGCTGAGCCTGTGGCCAAGTTGTATGAGCCTCTGGTACGCCTGGATGACACCTTTGTTCTGCAGGAATTCTTCGTGCCACGTGAAAAGATCCAAGCATGGATCGAGGATGCAAAGCCCATCTACAAGGAGCTTGCAGTGCATAGGCAGCTGCAGCTGCTCAACACCACGATCCGGTTTGTGAGGCAGGACCTGGAGACTGTCCTCAACTACGCAGCCCCTCAGTCGGGATTGAAGAGATGGGTCTAGGTGCGCCATATTTTGTTCCGCATTCGAGGTCAAACCTTACCCTGGAACAGTGTTCATCCTCAACTTGGTACATTGCTTTTGTTTCTTTTAGGAGGGGGGGTTGGCGGAGGGCGGGGGCCTAGGCTGCCCAACATCCCCAACCCTAAACCCTAAACCCTAAACTCTAAATTTATGCCGCAAAGGCATCACCCGAGGGCATGTTTGCCTTCGTCCTCTACTACCGGATGCCCCGGACGCAATCGGCTGATCTTGAGCTGCAGCGCTTCCACACCTGGTTTGTGCAGGTGGGGTTTAGGGTTTAGGGTTTAGGGTTTAGGGTTTAGGCTTTAGGGTTTGTTCACAACATCAGCCTTCGCAGTGGTCCTGACCTGATGTAGTTCGAATGACAGATACAGCAAGAATCATCATCATGATTGAATAATCATCCCATTTCTTCAAATCACATGAATGCTAGTCATAACAGAAAGACAGGCCTTGTAGAGGCCCTAAGTTGAGTGAGTTGAGCTGCACGTTCGTCTTGTTCAATGGATCAGGTTAGCTTGAAGCATGGCGGGACGTTCTACTTGCCTTATCGGCATCACTACACCGCGGAGGAGCTAACCCGAGCATACCCTCGCATCGGTGAGTTTTTCAAGAGCAAGGAGAAGCATGATCCGTAACACAGAGACGTCAAGCATTTGATGTGCCGGGTTGCGTGTTTTGATGTGAGTGGTGCGTATTGCAGAAATGCCCGGCATCAACCAAAGCACGTTGCACCAGACCCCCCCAACTCAGGTGAACTTATACCGAAGGGACGATAGTGAGTAGATATGTCCGAGTATTGGGGGCACCTTTCTTGGCGTTCCTAGATTCAGGATTGTAACAAATTGGGGTGCGGGGGAGCGGGGCCCTTTCGAGAGTCCAAAGAGGAACAATTACACCACCGAAGACCCCAAACAGTCAAAGGCACGTCAAAGAACGGTGGAGATGCGACGACGGGAGACAAAGGGAGACGAAAGGAGACCAAGGGAGGCGAGGAGCGTAGCAACCGGCAAAGCCACCCACATGAAGGGAGACAAAGGGAGACAAGGGAGACAAAGGGAGACAAGGAGTCCAGGAAGCCGGCAACAGCTCTCAAAATGTCGGCAATCCTTACATGAGTTTAGAACCCCAACAGTATATAGACTGTTTGGGGAAAAACCTAAGCCCCGAAACTGCGAAATCACGACTGGGGGGTGCGAGGGCGGGCGGGGGGTGAACGACTGAGGAGTGGGCGACCAAATCCTACTTTAGTTACCAAGCCCTTACAGGATTAGTGGTCAGGTTCGTGGTTCTTATTTCCTGCATCACTTAGAGCAAGCATGGACGAAGGTACGGCCTGTTTGACAGTCAGTGGTTTCGGGCCTACGGCCTCCCCTTTTGCAGCCCTGACTACCACACGTGGCGGCTGCCCCCGGATGCTGCCCGCCAGACGGCCTCATGGTATGAACCCCCTAGCAGGTTCGATTCTAGACTTCGCATTTTCGCAGAAGCCCTTTGCAATTTTTTGGCCTGCTCTGGTAAGGGTCTTGAAGTAGCTCACCAATCCAGCTCCACCAAAACAATGGCAGATTGTCATATTCAAACAGACTGCCGCATATCGTACGATCACTCTCAAGTACCGACCACACGGCCTTGAATGTACTGGACCAGTTGGTGACCCTCGAAGCCTCTTGCAAAACAAGGGTTTGAGAGCCCGGGTTAAGGGGCACCCAAAACCCTAAACCCTTAGCTACTTTGCTAAAGAACCACCGAAGAAATAATAAACACTGTATTGCCCATCTTAGGAAGTATATGTGTTATTTGTTTGCGGGGGCTACCTGGAACTCAACTCACCTACAGTTTAGTACGTAGTAACTACCGGCGGAACCCGTAAGCATGTGGGTACAAAGAGTCCCAGGTAATAGTTCAACCCTAAACCCTAAACCCTAAACCCTAAACCCTAAACCCTAACCCTAAGGTCGTAGTTAGGACTTCGTCGCAGCACGGAAGATGCGAAGTGCGACGTGAGGCCTGGTCCTCACTTTGCGCGCCCGCTCAGCCGGGAGTGGGCCAACACGCAGCTTGTGGGCAGAGTCAGCGTTTAGGGTTCAGGGTTTGGGGTTGAGGGTTGAGGGGTTTAGGGTTTAGGGTTTACGGTTTAGGGTTTAGGGTTTAGGGTTGGGGTTTAGGGTCTAGGGTTTAGGCTACGAGTTTAGGGTTTAGGGTTTAAGGTCTAGGTTAAAGTCTGACACCCACCTCCAGCTTTCCGGCTTGGAGCTACCAACGGCCAAAGCAGATGGCAGTTCGCCCTTTTGACACGAGCGTGTAGGGGGTTAGGGTTTAGGGATTAGGGTTTAGGGTTTGGGGTTTAGGGTTTAGGGCTTAGGGTTTAGGGGTGCATGGCGACTTCAGCGGAGTGTTGAAGGGTGTCTGGATTTGTCGCTTCAGTTCGCCGAAACGACAGGGGTGGACTGAGAGATTGGCGTTGATATAGGGGTCGGAATAGATGCTAGGGTTTAGGGTTTAGGGTTTCGGGTGAGTAGTATTCCCATTATGGTCTTTTTGTAATCATACTACTATTTCGGGGGGGGGGGGGGGGGGGGGGGGGCTATTTTAGGGGTCCCCAATGTTCGTAAACCCCCAAATAAGGCATCACCCATCTGAATCCCAAGAGTTGCAATGAGATGTTCCGCCCCAAAACCCAGAGACCTCCCAGTCGAGCTGCACTTGGCTTTTTCCCCCTAAACCCTAAACCCTAAACCCTAAACCCTAAACCCTAAGCCGAGAGAAGCGTCTTCCTAAAGCATCCACCCACTGTGACCCCCACAACCCATGTGACTTGCACTCAGGTACCCGAAGTCGTTCCGGAGACTCGGGTCTGCTTCAGATGGTTTCTTTTCTCTTATAACTCTACTATTTGCTTAAGAACCCCGCAAAGAATACAAGATGTTATTCCTTATAAGGGCAATATAGGGATTACTATTTTATATTTTTGGGGTTCTAAGCAAATTCGTATTCGCTGTACCACGGCAGTCCGCAGCCCCTCCCTACACCCTACACCAACCTAAGCCAATTAACGATTTCAAGCATGTAGGTGTTTATACGAACCAAGGAAAGGCATCCGCATTCGTTTCGGAAGGTCACTGAGGACCCTCACTTGCGCCACGAGTTCTTCGATGCTCGGCGAATTGGGAGATGCCGGGCGATGCCGGGGCACATGCACGAAATGGTGTGGTGGTTGGTCCTCTCCCAAGCGTGAAAGGAAATCTCCTCTAAGGTCCTATAGGGCATCTTTGCAGAAACTGCGCGCAGAAACTCAACAGATTGTTTTTGGACTCTTGCGATCAAGAGTTTCAAGCTGCCATCACCCAGATGCTCGTGTGAGCAGGGATGCTCCTGTACAACGATACCATGGAGCTCTGGGCCATGCTGACGGAGTTAAACCCCTAAACCCTAATACCTAAACCCCAAACGAGTGCCAGAAGCCCTAAACCCTAAACCCTTAACCCTAAACCACCAAGGACGGCTTCCTCACCCAGATTTTCAACGTCATGGACCGCGACACACTGTATGAGATGGTCGCGAAAGCCGCCGCTCGGATCGGTGAGCATGGCTTCCATTCAAGGGGTTTAGGGTTTAGGGTTTAGGGAGGCAACGCATACCTGGGACCCGTTTTTTACCTACAGCTTTAAGGGTTCTACCTACGAACTCAGGGTATAGTTACTACTAGACTGTAGGCACATAGGGTATAGTTATTATTACTAGACTGTAGGCAAATAGCTCAACGTATTCCCCCCCCCCCCCCCCCAAGGCTTAGAGCCTAGAAGTACAGGTATGAGCGCTTGCATGAGAAGTGCCCCTCCTGAACCCTTTGCCGAAGTGTGTCTGTGTGTGTTTTCTCCGGAAATTGCGAATCCTAATTCGAACCTTAAACTTCAGAAGGGCTTGAGTCTTCAGTGTTTGTTGCGTGCACGCGGTTCCCCCTCGCGCAGCTTGAGGATGTAGGGGTCTTGAGACCTTTTGGCATTGGCTTCCTTCAGGTCGACCACACAGAACCAACCCTCCTAAACCCTTAAACCCTAAACCCCGAGCACTAGACGGAGCATAGTTGCCACGCGCATTGCAAGCGGTTCGGGATGTCTGAGGCATATTGGGGGTTTCCGGAATTATGGGTGCCTTATTGGGGTCCTGACAAACAAGGAATCCTACTTTTCGGGGTCTATATTTGGGGTCCCTTACCTTCGTAAACCCTCCATTTGTTTGCAACCCTTTTTGTTGCGTGAAGTTGACCTACGCTTGGCCGAGGTGTGGAATCCGGAGAACTTGCACGACATCGATGTCTACAGGCCCATGCTGCATCATAACAATCAGTATAAAGCCGTGCAATAATCGAATGACATGAGGCAATAGCGTTATACTTTTTGGAAATTTTAACAGTATAGTAGTCGAAACCCATCACTATTGGCATTCTTGGTCTTAAGCCCGGATGACACCGGAAAGCTTGCAACGCCTCTTTTTGCCGCGTCGTGAGCGATTGTCCCCCCGTCTGCCCTTTGGGGATTTTAGGTTCTACAACGACGAGACCGGAAGCAAAAGGATTTAGGGCTTGGGGTTCAGGATGAGTTCAAGACCTCCACATGCTTTCAGTTGATATGAAAGCGGGACCTGTTAACGGAAGAGACAGGCCTGAAGGACCTGGTGTTTGTTGCAGCGAGACTTCGCAGCATTCCGAAGCAGAAATAAGTTTACATTACGGGCTGACACCCCCCAAAACCCTGAACCCTGAATTAAACCCTAAGCCCTAAACCAGCCTAGGAACATCCTGTGACTTTGCAATGCCAAGCGTCTCTAAACCCTCAACGAGAGACCTTCCACGCTCCATGCAGCTCAACATCGACCCTAAACCCTAAACCCTAAACCCTAAACCCTAAACCCTAAACCCTAAACCCTAAACCCTAAACCCACTCCTAGGTCGCTTCGTGCGCAGCTCGGAAGCCTCACGGGCGAATTCCACGCCGCAACCAAAGGCTCCTCGGAGTGGATGTCGGTTCTGCACCTGGGACCCTTCTTACCTAGAGTTTTATATGGGTTCTCTATGAATTAAGGAGCAGCTACTACTAAACTGCAGGGATATAGAGTCCCAGGTAGGGTTTGGGGGAAGGGCTTGGCTGGACAGGAGAGGAGCCTGGGTGCAATCTGAGGAAGGGCTTGGGCAAAACAAAAAAGGCCAGTGAAAGGCACGGAGCTTGACCTTTGAACCGCGTTGCTCCTCACATACGTCCCGCCCGTCTGCCCTAAAACCCCTAAACCCTTAACCCAACTCCCACCCTGAACCCCTAAAACCCCCCCCCACACCTTCAACCACCAAACTGCCGAGGGGTCAAGTCACTTTACCAGCTGGCAGCGCAGAAGAAGGCACGCCCGAGTGCAGCAATCAGCAAGCACAAGAAACTTGGGAAATGCACTTTCGGGAACGTAAGATTCGTGAACTCTCGAAGACCTCCGATGCTTTGTTGGGGTGAGTGTTGGAAGCCCGTTTGCAGAAACTCGAGTTTCCCCCCTAGCTGGTCGGCTCCCTAAGCCCCCCCATTTACCACCGCAAGGAGCTCACACAGGAAGTGGTCTCCATCGTGTCGCGCTTGGGCCGCCTTGGGCGACT